GTTTTTTTGAGATAGGGTCTCCCTGTAGCCCCAGCTGTCCTGGAACTCACTATGTAGACCAGGCAGGCCTTGAACTCACAGAGATCCGCCTGCCTCTGCCTCCTGAGCACTGGGATTAAAGGTGTGCGCCACCATGCTGGCCCAGCAGTTTTTATATATAATTAAACTTCTAGCCTGAAGAGCCATTAAAATTTATGCTACTCAGTATTTCCAAGTGACAGTCTCTGCCCCTAGCTTCCATCTAGACTACCTGCACCATTAGTAACTAGGCTAGGGAAGGAACCTCGTTTGCTGGCGTGAATAAATTAGACAGGGGAATCATGAAGTGCAAACCAAATAACTATAAAAAGGAAAAAGGTATCTGGCTTTTTTGTTTCATTTTCCTTTCTTTTGAGACAGGATCTCAAGTAGCCCTGGCTGACCTTGAACTCCCATAGTAGCCAAGGGTGACCTTGAACTTCTGGTCCTCCTGCCTCTCTACCCACCAAGTGCTGAGATTACAGGCTTGTGTCACCACACCCAGTTTTATGCTGTGCTGAAGATCTGAGCCTAGGGCTTTGAGAATGCTAGGCAAGCACTTTATCAACTGAGCTACATCCCCAGACACTATTTTTAAAAGTCAGTGTTTTCCATGATTATTTTTATGCTCTTAGGATATTATCTAAAACTTCTTATGATTAGTTTCTCTTTAGTTTTTAGACCTCATCAAGATATAAAGTTACGATACTAAGGGAAGTAGTAAGAGCATCATTCTGGTGGCTGGAGAGAAGGCTTGGTCAGTAAAGTCCTAGCCATACAAGCATGAGGACCTGAGTTTGGATCCCAAGCACCATCAAAAGCCAGGCATGATGGCAAGTGCCTGTAATCCCAGTGCTGGGGAGGTGAAGACAGGTCAATCCCTCGGGCTTGTTGCTGCTCAGCTAGATTTGCTGAATTAGTGAGGGTAAACTCCAGGTTCAGTGACAGGCCTTGTCTCGAAAAATAAGGCAGAAACTAGAAAAGAAGACACTAGATGGACCACTGCACATTGACCTCTGGTCTTCACATGCTCACACCCACATGAGCACACATAACCATGCAAGCACGTGGAAACATACGAACATATTACATGCATATACCCTTCCCCGTCAAGGGCTTCCCTTTTTTTTGTTCTAGGCAAAGCTTAGAGGGTTTTATGTTAGAAACATAGCAGTCCTATAGATAAATAACAGATGTGTAAATGTTCCTATTCATTATTTGGTCCTATCACAAGATACTATCTGCAGTCAGCCTTCGACTCAGTACTCTGCTCCTACCCATTATGTTGGTATTTTGATGTCACACTAAGTATAATAGCTCAAAGAGTAGTTTACAATGGAAAACCAAGTGCAGCTGGAAATAAGCTTTAAAAGTAAAAATTTAATAGGAAAGAAAAGATAAAAGACAAAAATGTTCATTCACCAGTGAGGGCTTGAACTCAAGATGCCCGAAATCGCTTTCCTCTTACCAGCAGGTTCTCCGGCTTGATGTCACGGTGGACGATGTTCAGGCTGTGCAGGTATTTGATGGCACTGGCCAGGTTGTACAGCATCCCACTGGCATCTCGCTCCGTGTATTTGTTAGTGGAAGTGATGGCATCAAAAAGGTCTCCACCCTGGAAGAGAGCAGCAGGCTGAGCAAGGTATTAACAGATGGGCCAACAGGCTGCCCATGGAGGGACCTGACAAACCATAAAGGACATGAAGAGTGGACCAGGATTTTGGCATCCCAAGGGCTTTTTGTGCCACAGCCTTTCAAAGAACCAATGACTCTATGGTGATTTCTCAACTCAGTCCAAAAGATAGTGACATTGTGTCCTGAGTTCAAGGAAAGGAAGAGGGTGGTGAGACTGACAGTAGGCATGTGGCTGTCCCTCTCTAGGAAAGAGGAGGCAGAACTGGGTTCCCAGTTGAGAAACCTCATGACATGTGGGGGACCCTGGTGGCATGTGTTGCCCGCCACACGCCATCTGGCAGCTGAAGGGCAAATTCATAATTCTAAAACTCCCCCACTGAGAAACAGGCAATTCTGCAAGCTACACCGGTCACAGAATGTTCTTATACCTTTGAAATGATTAAGACAGACACGTGCAACACACACACACACACACACACACACACACACACACACACACTCCTTTTGACTTGCTACATTTAGCTCTGTTGGCGTGGGCGTAGCGTTTTCTTTTTCAATAATGTGCTTCTTTGTAAGGAATAGAAAAAGGACCAGCAACCATCATTCTAAAGCCGAGGAAGAAAGGGAAGGGAAGAGGGTTGGAAATTCCAAAGAAAGTTTTCTAGGAATAGTATTCATCTCAACTTTTGTTTCCTAATCCCCTTTATGATTTATTGATGACCTGATGAAACAAGATTTTAAGCTCTAATTTAAGTTCCACTTACTTGAAGACTTTATTTCAGAGACTTTGGATCTGATTTACCAAGAATGTTTGAATCATTTTCATATACAATATACCAAAGAGCTAAGGCCAGAAACCAAATATATTCATATGTCCCTATGTAGTAAACAACTTAATTTCCCTTTTAAAAATAGGAAAAAGAAAATATAGCTCTGTAACCTGACGACTTTCAAGTTTCAGCAAGTGCTCTGGGATCCTCTGTCTCCTTGTATGATTTCTACCCTGGAAACTTCTCTGTCTTGATGCTGTCTCTCCTAGTTGGGACATCTTGGTTATACAGAGAGATTTCACAGAGCCTCTTGAGTGCAGTGAAGAACCTGATGTAATCTAATCTAATGATGAGCAATCAGACTGAACTCTATCACCAAACATGTTCTCAGCACTTGAGCCTCACCCCCAAATTTAATTTGGTCTCAGCTCACCAAAAAAAAAAAAAAAAAAAAAAAAAAAAAAAAATCAGCCTACAGGAAGGCGATAAATAAAAACAGGGGCTCATCAATTTTTAACAGCACTCAGAGGGTCAACAGGAATATAGGCTTGAAGCTATTGGCCTAAGAACCATGTTGTGGTGAAAATACTGCCTGTTGGTGCTGGAGACAACAGACTTTACGAGGTTAGTAGCAAGATGATTTGATAATGAAATGCAAACATAAAGATTTGAACAAATAAAATGAACCTCTTTTGGTAAATGACTTCAAAAATACCATCATGTTCTTGTTCTCAGCCTCAAACACAGCAACAGAAGTTTATTTCTTCTTACAAATACACACCTTAACTAATTCCATGACAAGATACAGTTCAGTTGGCACATCCATCTCCTCGATCAGAAGAACAATGTTGGGATGCTTCACTCTTCTTAAAATAGACACCTCATTCTGTATCATGTGCTCCTGTCCAAGGGAGAAATCATCGTAATAACCATGGGGCATGAGAGGTAACTCAGAAGAGAACAGCTACACCATTTGATGGTTGAAGAGATGTATTTTGGTAAATATATGATATTTTGATTAGGCTAAAATTGCTAGATATTGAAGGTCCTAAGATGATTAAACTCAGAACCGTCAGCACAACTATAATTTCATATAAAAGGGTGAAACTTAGATATCAAGTGCAAGGCAAGAAAATAAATAAGTGAAGACAAGGACCAGAAACAAAATCCAAGCATTCCAACGACTTTTATCCCAGGAATATTTATAAAGTTGTAGTCTCAAGTGTTTATAACATCATGTTCCACCAAAATACATTTGTCAGGCTGAGCTTGTGTCTATTCGGAAGCCCATCTTTGTTTTTCTTCTACTCTCAGAACACAATACTTCGTAAGAATAAACTTTATACATACTTTGCCTCGACATTTACTTTTCTTGATAATTTTCAGAGCATACTCCCGAGCAGTCGACCTGCAAAGAGAAAGTTTTATTTACTGATCTTTCTATTATTTTATTTTTTATGTGTATGAATGTATTGCCTGCATGTGGTAAGTGCACCTGTGTTGCGCAGTGTCTGTGGAGGTCAGAAGAAGGCATCAAACTGGTGATCAGGCATCCGCTACCTGAGTGTTTCAATTATGAGCATGAGCTATTGTACTCAGTGCCTTCATCTCTCTTGGGGGTCATCTCCCCACAAGAGTGGCTGTGAGAGTTGTTTGAATATTTCTCAGGGTCACACAGAAGACTCCCCAAGAAGTGGATCACACTCTTTAGACTTTGGTTCAGTCTGAAAGCCTGAGTGGGGGAGTTCTGCTGGAGAACCCACGAATGATACGCTCGAAGAAGAAAAAGACAAAACCATTTCTTGGGACCCACTGAGTCTTCCATGGCTGTCCTTCATATAAAGAAAATGGAAGTGACAGTTAAAATCAACTCACTTTCTCATAGTCACGTGACAAAGTCAGGATTCTCAGATCCTGGGTTCCCTGCTTCCCATGTAGCCCAACTGACATGGCCTCTCCTGTTTAATGGATGTGAGAGAGAGGGTTCAGTCATGTTTGCCTTCAACAGGTTCCTAATGTGGGCCAACGTTTTAAAGATACTCTGGTGGCAAACCTGAGGACAGGGCTATTACCAGAGGACCCAACACAGACTTTATCATGATAAGCTACAGCTCAGGCATCGAGCTCTCATTACTGATGCAAGACAAAGAAAGCTTAGCTTTTTGCTTACAGGTATAGGTCAATTATATGGATCTAGATGGCTGTGGTTGGAATGAAACTGATTAAAGACAAATTTAGAAAATGGGATTTAAAAATATTCAGTATGGTGAACTTAATGGGATTCTTACTTTCATGGTTAGAGCAAAGAAATGATTTGCCTACAGACAAATTAAGATGCCAAGTATTAAAAAAGTTCATTTCAGGGCATTTTTAGAAACTAGTTGTGAAGCCAGGCATGGTGGTGTATGCCTTTAATCCCAGCACTTGAGAGGCAGAGGCAGGCAGATTTCTGTGTGTTCTAGGCCTGCTGGAGCTACAAGGGGACCAACAAACCAAACAAAAAATTAAATACAAATAACAAAATAAGGCCAGCCTGGTCTACATAGTGAGTTCCAGGCCAGCTGGGGCTACAGGGAGACCCTGTCTCAAAAAGACAAAATAATAAATAAATAAATAAATAAATAAATAAATAAATAAATAAATAAATATATGTTTTGTTAAAAAAAGAAACTAGTTGTGCATATTATTTCTAAAGTGTTCTCTTACTACACTTTCAGGCCCCTGTATGACACTTGTTTGCAGAAAACACCCAATAAACTGTTATAATCAAGTTTGGGGAGTAAAATCAGAAGGTGATGACTTGGAAGCCCTCTTTCTCCATTAGAAGGCCTTGGGGTTCAGATGGGAGGAAACAGGGCAGGGGTTTGCTGTCCTGTTGAGACGTGAGTGTTCAGGGGACTCTACACTTCCCTCAGCCCATGAGGATAAGGACTCAGAAGCCTAAAGATACCCTTACTTCCCACACTGCCTTGTTGATTCTTAGACAGAATCTTCTAGAATGGAGAAGAAAGTGAGTTAGGCCTCTGCTGAGTACAAGACTTGGATGTTCTTACATGTTCCCACATGTACCCTGGACCATCATCAGTGAGGCAGTGTGGTGGAGATGGAGAGGAAGCACATCAGAAAGAGGTCAAACACAATACTTGGCGAAGAGATGCCAGAGAACACTGATGAGGAAGTAACACTGTCACCTACATAGATAGGATCCTTAGGAGCTTTTGGTTAAGACTGCAAGGTCTTTCAGCAGACTCTTCTAAGAAGCTTCTGAAGATTTTGAAAACTTGAAAACAGATCATCAGGAGGAAAACTAAAAGCTGAAGTGTATCTAGTGAAAGTAAATCTCAGACTAGAACCTGGGAGCAATTTCCTCTGTGATTTAAAATGTGTCTCTCGGGACTGGAGAGATGGCTCAGCGGTTAAGAACACTAGTTGTTTTTGCAGAAGACCTGGGTTCGAATCCCAGCACCCACATGGCAGCTAACAACTAGTCTCGGGGGATCCGACAGCCTCTTCTGATCTCTGCAGGCATTACACAACATGGGTGCACTTACCTACATGCAGGCATAACACTCATACACATAAAATAAAAATAATAATTCTTTTTAAAAAAATGTGTCTTTCAATTGTAGTGATCTAGTCTTAGATCAATGGCTTCCATCCCTGAAGCAATCCCAGGCGGGGCCAGACAGCAAGGATGTCGTTGTACAAGACTCAAAGGTCAAAACTGACTTTTCCTACCACCAGTTCCACAAAAGAATGGATAGGAAGCCATGTTGGTGGGAAGAATGGATTCCCAAGTCTGACATTTGATCTTTATTTCCCTTGAAGGAGTAATATTAAAAGTACTCCACCAGTACTTTGAGCTGGTGGGGGAGCTGGAAAAGTTAGAAATTAAGAATTAGAAATTTGAAAGTTAGAAAGTAGAATTCTTCTCCACAGGCAGACAGACAGGGAGCAAAATTCCTAGTGAGTTAGTAGGTGACTCCCAGAGGCCAGGCTAGTAGGCTAGGTCCCAAGCTTACCACTGAGGGAGGAGGAGAGCAAGTATGGGGTAAGTGGCCTCAGGACTTAGAGAACATTAATGAGAAAGTGACGCTATCACCTACATACACAGGTTCCTTAGAAGATTTAGGTTGAATAAGACCACAAGGAACTGTGTCTTCTCTGCCTAGAACTTTTCATAACCCAACTAAACATTCCAATAAATTTATCCATATTTTATACCAGATAATGCACCCCATAGAGGACCAACAAATTTAATATTGAAAGTATTCTTTCTTGATTTCTTAAAGGTGGAACTATAAAGTTATATAATAACATCCTTAATTACTAGAAGCACATGTTTATAGGTAAGTAGCTGGTCTTCAAAAACAGCCTGAAAATGGTTGTCAGTGCCAAATATAAACTACAAGAGCAGAAATGTCAAGGCACACTGCAACTCCCAAAACTCGGTGAGACATTAAACCTTAAATAATGTCGTGGTTTCCCTACATACCCAGAACTCTGAGGTCTGCTGTGCCAGAGTCATTATTCAGCAAGCAGTGGACAACATGGATCTCCAAAGCATTCAGGGATGAGACCTGTCTTTTGTCCTCAGGAGCCAGTTTAGTGCTTGGAAAATAATGCTGGATGTTTGGGTTGCTAATGGCGGTACAGGCATTTGGCTGCCTGTTCCTAAAGGTATATTCTTGACCTTTTATGGGAATCCCCAGGCCATAACAGAAGCAACAGCAAGCTCTCTCTTCCTCCTTGTCTAGGGCAAATCAATTGGCTAGGTCACTTTCTCATTAAGTGGGACTCAAGGGTGCAGTTCGAGTTCCCAAGAAAAATTTCAAATATTACAAAAACACTAATTCTCATGTATTTTCTCAAAATAGTTTAGAGAAAATCATCTTGTTTAGCTTAGTCATCCTCACTTGGGGCCAGGCTTCCTCCCATGGAGTGGAATGCTACCAAAGAGAAATGGCTATCAAAGACCGGGGTGCTCTGAGCTAAGATGGCGTCCTTGTTTGCTGTGTTTTGGAAGGTTTTAAAAGATCGTTCGGCAAAGATGACATAGCTACCAACAGCTCTTTATGCAGCATTTGCTGAATTTTACAGCAACTCTTGTGTGTGGCTAAGGTTCTAAGTACCTGGCTGTGCTCTGTCTCTCTGTAGCACCTGAAAGGCCCAGTGGGGCAAGAAGTCCCTGAACTTCAACACTTAGTTGAGTTGATGGTGACAGTTAGTAGTGATCACCCCCATTCTTCATCCTCCAAGTCATCGTCACAAAACCTAACCTCTTCTCTAAGGGGGGAAGATGCCCGCTGCAGCCAGTCAGCGAATTGAGGCATCCTAGAAGGGCTTGCCAAACATCTTCCAGGAGAATTTGCTTTCAAATCTGAGTAAGGGCCTCACAGTTCTCCAGTGTCAGAGCATCCTCAGGTGGGAAGGAAGAGTAGCAGTCAGCTAGCCCAGAGATGGCTAAGCTTCTTTGCCTGGCTCATATCTCATCAATTGTTTTCTAGGGGTACAGTTGACAAATTCTGGAGACTGTCTAGGTGGATGCAACCTATTCTGGTGAAACAAAAGTTTGGTGAGAGCCTACCCTTATCACTAGAGTCAATGGTTTTATTTTATTTATTTAATTCTTTAAGCTTATAGTTGGAGGCAAGTGAGAAGGGTATGTGGTCCTCTAGGATTTTTATGTGGTGACTCTGGGCCATAATCTCTAAAAACACAAGCAGTGAAGGTGGGAGGAGGGCCAAGAGCCACCTGGGACATGACATGGCTTTACTCATGACCACATCACTCACCCTCAGTATGTTCGATCAGGAGTTCACACAAAGCCACCTCTAGGGCACCTCTAGCAAGCCCTCTGCTGGTTCTCTGACCGCCCACATGTGCTTTAAAGCGCTGTGAGCTTTCCCTGATGGACTCAAAATAGATGTCTCCCATAACATAAGTCAAAGTGTACTACCTACCATCAGCAAGTCCTCAGATCCAAGAGCCACTTGAAAAATTACTCCTGGGGTGCAGACAAAAATCTCACAGCAGTGTGCTAGCAAAGACTATGCTGTTAAGGACCACTGCAGGAAGACCTATGTAGCCTATTACTGTGCCCTTTATAGAAAAATCTTGCCTGTGACAGCATATTATTAACAGAGGAGGAGCATTTCTGCCCTTGTTACTACATATTCATTCCTCAACATGCAGCAGATGCGCCCAAAACCAGTGTGCTAGTCACAATATTCATAGCTCAGTTTTATTTTCTTGGACCTCTGGAAGATATTAAAAGAATGTTTCATGATACCTCTGGGGAGAGAGGGCACCAGCCATATGTCCTTGTTCAGCAGGAGCTGAATACTAACACTTCTGGAGAAATCTGGCATTTAGACTCTGAAGTTTCATGCAGTGAGACCCAAGATGTGAACTCATGCATATGGACGTAAGCCAAGTAGGAAAATAAATGAATTCTGGATGGAGACATAGGAGCTCTGTAGTGTGAAAAGGTTGGGACCGTAGGTCTGAGATGCTATCCCAGTGCAGGACCAGCTATGAAGGACAGTAAGCACCCACAGGCTCAGCTTAACAGATGATAAGCCCTGGCAAATGACCAAACAGCCCACAGAGAAAGGTCACACAAATCCGCTGAAATAGAGATTTTTATACTTAGTGGAAATAATGCTAAAAGCACTGGCTATATATTAATAAAATATAAATATGTATACATGTACTTATACCCCTCCACCCATCACCTTAGGGATGGTTTGCCTAATTGAATTTCTGTCTCACTTGTACATTGGGAGGCATGACTTCAGTGCATCTAAGTTCCTTTATTAGAATCTTATGGAGAGTCCTTATTAGATGCAGTGAAGCAAACGGGCCGAAAGTTTGTTTTGAGGACCAAAGCTCTGATCTAAGCATTTAGCAGCAGAGTGATCTTGGACATTTAATTTCTTTAGTATATCTTTTTATAAAATGGGGACAGAACTACTGACATGATTCCTTCATTATAATTCAATGGGCTACTGTAACTTAAGGACCTTGCATTAATAGATAGGCACTCAATAAACAGTAACTGCTCTTGTTTCAGGATGTGTGGAGCCCACTGCAGTATTGGAACATTTTCTGTATTTGGCAGTGAGGCAATCAAAGGCCAAGTCCCATGGGTACAGGCTTGGGACTAAGGTGACAGAGGAGAAAGGTGAACTGACAGCGTGCACAAGGGAAATTTTCAAGCCAGCGATTACTCACGCCACTACCTTGCACAGAGTGGATGCTCTGTATGGGCTGTTTGTGTTGTGAACATCCTGGTTCGGCTGGAATGCAGAAGCGGAGTGAAATCTGAGAGCTACTGTTTGAGGGTAAATTAGCGAGGGCTTTGCGGCCTTGGTCAAAGAAGGGATGCATCCTTCAAAGGGTGGAAAGGGATGCAGGGAGCTCTTATCGGATACTGGTCCAACTAAGAATCCTAGTGATACCTGATGTCCTAGTCATGCTTCCAGCTATAAGTAGCATGGATCTGTGCTTCCTGTGAAGATGTGAAGAACCAGCTCTAGCTTTTTCACACTAAAGCTTCCTAATCTGTCTTCCAGCCTGAGGTGTCCTCTTTGAGTGACGGTGTGGTGTGACACAGGACAGGGATCCTTAAACAAGGTCCAGGAACTGCAGGAGTGTCCAGCTTGGAGTGGAGAAGGGAAGCACTGAACTATAAATACCTCAGGTCAGTCCCCAGAAAGCCAGAGGGATCCCCTCAAGGGACGAGGTAGGTACCTCTATCCCAGCTCTGAGAAGCTGTCAGGTGTCCAGGTCCCTGAATGCTCACAACAGCCACGGAAGAGAGCTCTGATTATGCCACTGAGGGTCTGAGGTCACCTCAGGTTGGGCTGTCACTGTATTAGCTGCCACTTCTTTACCTGGTAACCACCAGCTACTGTTCTTGATCAGTCATCAAGAACCTAGGGATAAACCAGACATGGGAGCATGCCTGTAATCCTAACACTCAGAAGACAGAGGTAAGGAGACGGTGAGCTGGAGGACAGTTTGAACGCATAGTCAGACCCTATATAAAAAAGCTGAGGAGTGGCTTGGTGGTAGCTCACTGTCCAGCATGCACAAAGTCCTGGATTCAATCCCCAGGGATGGGAGAAAAAAACATGATTCCAAACCCTTTCTTTTGACCAAAATGTACCTGGATTATCTGTCTGAATACACATTCAAGTATCAAATACTGTTTTTGTAGGGTCAATAAATATGAGTTCTAAAGCTTTTCAAGGTTATTGTTCTATATAATTTTTTGATAGTGCATATTACAGATTAAGCTCTCTAAAGACAGAGAGAGAAAGAGAAAAACTAACCTGACAGAACTAAAAAAATTTTGGTAAGTACATTAAAAAAATCAGTGTCCTTGTTTTATAGATCATCCCAAAGAATCACTGCATTTTTAAGTGTGTTTTTAGATGTCTTTTCTGTTCTTTTTCTTTTAGCATCTGAGCTTGAAACATTAACTTATTCCATATGTGTTTCAGACTGCAAATAGAGACACAATCTTGGGAAACACAATGCCACGTGTTCCCTTTAATACTCTATACAAACAATCTCATGCTCACCTTTCTACACATTCCTTGACAACAGCAAAATTTCCATCTCCTATTGTCCTCCCGACTTTATATCGCTCCGTTATTGTGGCTGGAATCTGGAAGCCTTCCTCAGACACTTCTGAAAGAGTCATTAGTATGTTTTTATTGGTAGAGAAGGAGACGCAGATGTTGCACAAAGGACACATTTCTTAGCACCATCTTATAGACTGGAACTGATTCAGGACCATTACGTCACTTTTCTTTATGTGATGTATGTGAGGCAACAACCTCTTCCCTTGCAGGTTTGTACAGACACAACAGTTTTTACTAAGACAAATGACAGACTAAAAGGAAACCTACAGGATCCACCTGCATCCAAATTAGTGCCACTTACGTTTTCTGCTGCAAGTGGGTATTCAGAAGAGGAGATCTTGCTGTTTGAACTTCACGCCAATTTGATCAATCGCATTGTCTGAATACCCACTGTGTTCAGAAATGACATTCTGATATACAGTACATAGGAAAATGCAGTTCTTAAGGGACACTGGGCTGTTTGGCACTGTACAAGCATGAAAAATTCCTGCTGTTTGGACACTTAGCTTCACTACATCCTGAAATGGAGATCTCCGTAAAATTCTTTACAAGCTAAGCATTGATCGCCACCCCTCCCTAAGTATCAATGAGCAGATTTTAGACAAATGTTCTCACCGGCAACCTGCATAGCAGATGTCGAGGGTAAGTCTCCAAATCTATTATGTCTGTGAACAGAACAGTTTTGTACTTGCATAACACATTTTACCCCTGAAAATGCATTTTGAAATATTTTACAAATTCCTAATAATGCTTTAAATATCCAAGGCTATAAAACTAAATAAGCCAGGACGGGTCACATAGATACGCTGGATAACCTTTAACGTGTTAGGGGTATAAAAAGCCTTTTATAGCTTGGCTCTAAAATGTACATGTTTTGAAATTAAGCATCCTAGCTCTTCCCAGGCAATCTGTATGTAAAGATGTGATGGAAGTCTAGTGGGTTTTCTAGCTGTGCGCTTCTTTTTGCCTAGCCTCATAAACGGAGACTGAATATCTTCTTAAAATCAAACAAGAGTCTTGGGTATGAAGGGGATTTCTGGTAAGTTTTGTATCTCACATTTCATATGTGTTACTGGGGGAGAAAGAATGGAAAGTCATACTCATCAGACACCTGCTGCAGGACCTCTGTGCTAACTTCATGGTGCTCAGGATGGAGTTTCTGGAAAGTGTAGTCTGAACACAGGACAAATGCTACTGCAATCTTTCACTGCGCATCTGCAGTTTCCTCATCACTGTGGGTGACACTTTACTCCAGGATGGCTGGAAGCTAACTGGGCAGTTCCCAGAATAAAGTGAGGGCTAGAGCCAAGGCCCCCTCCCTTATCCCACTCAGGAAAGAGCCTTGCTTATGTTTGAAAAACTCAGCCTGGAGATTTCCATCTTCTCCCCAAAGAGTAGTAGATGGTTGTGGAGCATCTGAATTTACAAAATATCTACCAGATGGCACAGTCTAAGACTGTGTACATGGGCAATAAAGTGGTTGTCCTTTGGGATAAGTTAGATCCTCAGATAGAAAAGAGAAGTAGGTCATTCATCCTTTCTTCCAGTGGAGACATTCACCAGGACGCCCATGCAAAACATAGCACTTGGGATTTTTCCACCAACTATTGATAAAGCATCCCTCTTAGACTCAGTTTAGGCTTAGTCAAGGACCATTTCCTTTCATTAGGTGAATATGGCACATTGGAACAAAGGAGACTTCCAGATGGTTGAGCTACAAACTCCTGGAAATGCAAAAAGGTCTGAAATTACATGGCTGGAAGCTTAATAAAAGAGATTCCCTCGGAGGGTGCTTGGGGAAAGTGTCAAGTCTTATCATTTGAAAGAGTAAGAGGCGCTGACTTCTAACAGTGGCTTAATCTTAATACACACTCTTCCAAATGGTTTCCTCTCATTGACTAGCACCTGATTACAACCCCAGGGGGACAGAAATAGTGACATTTGATAATCTGCCTTTTTTATAAAAGAGGAAATATAGAGAACTGAAGAGGCTTGCTCCAAACCGTCCAGGCAGTTAGTAGGAAAGTCAGCTCTGGAATTCAGGTCATGTGATTGCATAGAAATTCTAATGCGAATGACCTTAAGTAAAGGGAAAGCACTTGCTAACCATGAATTCTTTCTGTAAAGTCATATTTTCATATATTGAATTCCCTTGAGTTGGAGCACATACACAGGTCTTTCCATTCAAGAGCCAATTTTCTTTAACATGAAAAGTGAACAGTTAGGGAAAACAAAGGCAGGCAATAGCTGGTCTTCCTAAGAAACATACACCCTCAGCGAATGTGAAAGGACTCCAAATTAGGCCAACTCCTTCCCATTCTCAGAGGTGGATACCATTCCCTGTAGGAGTCACACTCACTCCTGTACCCTGTGATTGATCCCCGTGAACTGCTGGGGTTTGCCTACTCACTGTGCTTCAGACGGTATAGCTTTTCAGAGTAAATTTACCCAACCCCTCCTCCCTTCTCCATCCCCTAGGCAAGCGATGCCTTCTCCCAAGGTCATCACCTTCCCCAGGTCCATCATTCTCGTCCATTGAGCTGCAGACTTTGGTGGATGCAAGTGAAGTGGAGGAGCCACCATGTTGAGAGCTCTGTAAAGGAACAGACAACAATAAAAAACCTGAGTCAGAGTGACCTAGCCTCCACAAGCCACACCCAGCCCCAAGTCTCCGGAGCTAGCTTTGGCCCCTCCCAGGGAGGACTGAGTCTTCTAACTTGGAAAAGGAGGTCTTCACTATCCAATAAGGGCCATATGTCCCACCCTCCTCATTAGTGAGTGAGAGGTTATGTTGATGAAGAGAAGATAATCATTGGACACCTGGGTGTCCATGACTTCTTATGCCTCTTCCTCAAAATTGGCGTCTTTGAACTTGGGCATGGTAGATTTTAGGTATCTCACTTCAATCTTCTAGTCTACTGTCAGTCTCAAATGTGGAGCTGTTCCGATCTTATCTACTATCTTTCTGTTTTCACAATAGAAAAAATATCTCTTAAGTTTGTTGGGAACTGTTCTTAAAAAAAAAAACAAAACTACTCAGCTTTAGCAAAACTGTAGGAGAGGGTGGGTTTGCTAATCTTACATTGAGATAAATACATATACAGTTACAGTAAACAGGAGACCAGTTTGTTAAATGTTATATAGTATGTCTGAGGTAAAGGCAAGAATTAAAGCCTAGGCCAAGGAGTCCCCTGTAATTTACATGGTTTAGACAGATTTTGAATGAAGACTCATGAGAGCAAACAGGGTAATGACTCTATGAGAGAGCAAATATTCAATATTATGATTGGCTGGGGGTGGTACTTTAACAATGAATGTTTCCATCTCTGCATCTATTTCTTGGGGAAACAATTTGCACACAGCAATTCTATTTCTAAATAGTTAACACAGCTTGTCCTAAAAGATCTTCCTTCTGTTTCCCTGGGTTTATCCACTTGGTTGGCCTGATGGGAGCAGGAGGCGGTGAGGGGGCGGCATTGGCTCATGGTGCCGGCTGTCTGTGGAGCAGAGAGAAGGGAAAGAGCAGCTGTAGTTGCATTGATAAGAGGTGATGAGAAGCAAACTTGACCTACATTTCCTCTTCTTACCTGTCTCCCCTCCAGCTTCCTCCCCATTCCATCCAGCCTGAACTGTGCACAAGGTAAGGGGGAAGAACAGTTTTATGTGGGACATATCAAACAGCTCCCTGCACAGAAAATTCAAAGACCTTAGCCTTCATAAACAGATTCAGGTAGCTGGGGGCGGGGTACATCACCTAATCACTCCAGGGCCATTTGAAGCAAGCACCATAGAACATTTTCCTGAGTGACAAAGATGAATAGACCCCATTTGGATGAATTCATTAATGCTGACAGTTGGCATGATTGGATGGAAGTTAATTTAGTAATGATAACCTCTGATTCTCTACTGGACATTCTAGAAGTTTGGGTATTGTACTAGTATACTCCCAAAAGGCATCCAGTTTGTATGATGTGCTCATATTTGCTCAGGTCACAAAAATCTCCCTTCAATAAGCTTGGTGATTTGAGTCGTTCTCCCTGCTTCTCTCATTCAGTTTTACTTTGTGACTTGTGGCATCCATTTGTCACATCATACTAGAAAGAGGGATTTCAGATTCTTTTTTTCCAAACAGTGTATTTTTTTAGCGTGACACTACAGATTCATAACCTACTGTGTTGAAGGAACTGTAAACATATCAGCTTGGAAGCCATGCTCTACTGACTTTTATGAATGTCTGTTTGTGAAAACCTTGTACTTATCCTGTCGGGATGGGTGGCAGAAACAAGGCAGATTTACTATGTTGATGACTGGAGAAAATAAACATTAACATGACCACAGTTGAGGGGAAGGTGTGTACTTTCCAGAACAGTGAGATCCTTTATCATCCAAGTCACTCCAAGTGCAATAGTGCCCCAGGCAGTAAAGCACTAAGTAAATGGCTAAGATGTAGCACTTCTCTTTCTGGGTTTTCTGACCCCTGGATTTCTTCTAAGCAGCATCACAAATGGTGTTTCATGATGCAGACACATTGTGGTTTGGGGTGGCAGGTACTGCCTTGTCATGTGGTGTTCCATATTTTACAATTCAAAGACATTCTTTCATCAAGCACCCAAGTTAATAGACCAGTCATATGTTTGCCAGCAAAGATGCCCACAGTTTATATACTCAGTTCCAAAAGTTCCTTCTCTCAATAAGAACATCAGGCACTCAACATAGAACTCTGACCCAAAATACACAAAAACATCTTTGAAACTGCAGCATTCTATAAGCTTGCTGTGTATTACTCAATAAATTGCCTTATCAACTAATGAATTACATTTTCAACAGAACACCAAATGTCTGATGCCCTGAACACTTGCCACAGTGCCGGCTGTGTTTTCTCTACCATATGAATAAAAAAAAAAAAAAAAAATCCCTCAGGGTTTTACAGCTCTGTTTTTTTGTGTTCTTTTAAGCAGGGTTAACACAAGTGAGCTTGAGTCTATAGTTGGTTTTGCTTTCCTTCAACTCGGTAAGTTTGTGTTTTTGAAATGTAACCTATGCTATTTCAAACTTCCTGCTGTTTAAGAGTAAGTAGTTGATGACTGACAGTTTTAAGAGAAAAATTCGTTAGTTATGAACAGGGATCACTGAAAATGGAACGTTCTGGTCTTCCTTATTATGTTCAGGTACAGTAAAAGAAATCTAATGACATTCTCGTGTAATCTCTTTGGCCCAAAAAAGTAAGATTGTGAACATTACAGTTTTCTAATGCAATGACCATTCATGGACTCAGAGAACTCCAGCGGCTGGAACAGACCTTAAACATCACCTCTTCTACCCCATTTCCAGAGGCCGAACTCCCCATAGATGGCCCCAAAAGGTGGTCAGGTGACCTGTGTCCAAATGCAGCTAGTACTGAGCACATTATTTCTTGAGGCAGCTCTTTAATTGTTAATGAGGCAAAGTAGCAGAAGTGCTTTGATTTGTACTGAAGTGATATCCTGGACATTTTCCATTTACAGTTCTTATGGCACACCCACAGAGTTAACCAGTACAGGTGTAATCCCTTTCCATAAGACAGAATTTCCGGTTTTTGGAAACAGGTAGGGTTCCTGGGTCTACTCCCTCCATTTTCATATTCTTAGTTCCTTTTCCTGGTTCATCATATGACAGAGCTCCCTGACCCCCTCCACATTCTCCTGGGGACATGGTCCTGCTTATAATACCACTGTTTAAACCTGGTGTTCAAAACTATAAGCAATTAGCTAAGTGTGCTCTTTTTGGCTTATCAGTAGGCCAAGTTTTAACCTTTCACTGATCTTATAGCTGAATTCACATTTCCCTTTTGAGAGGTAGGCACTATGAAGATTTCACATTTATTCATGCTAAATATCATCGTCATTATATTAATTTTCTTCTAGCCTGTTAATTGTTGGTCTCTGGATTCTGATTTTTCCACCCCACCCATTTCTCTCTTTCCTTCCTCTCTCCTCATCCTCCCTCTTCAACCCATTCCCTCTCTCTAGTAATCTACATGGACCTTTGAAGCAGTTGCTACTAACATGCCTAAGTATATTTAGATCCTTAGTCTCTCCTGGAACATTTTGCTCCTTATTTGTGAGTCTTATTTAAAAATAGTAAAGAGAACATGTATAAGCTCTCATTCTTTAGAACTGACCTAATGAAGACCAACTATCCCTTGATTCTGACTGACAGAATCTGCAAGGTCCACCTGTATTTCTGATCTTTCCTAAATGCTTTAAAATGTTTTACCTGTGTTTTGTGTTTTGAAGCAGATAAACTACCTTAGAAGGTATACACTGGTAAGATTTTATGTTTACTTCAGTAACTTTGCTAATGCTAAGGCATCTGGGCCTGCAGTTATTTTAGAATTTAATGCAATTAGCTGCTCTGAGAGGCGTCGTGACATTTGAAATATCATCACTTCCCAGCAGCTTTAATGGGAACCATTTGGGCAGGTTGCTGACACCTGGAGGCTTTTATAGCACACCTTCATAAAAGCCTCTCCCTAAGTAAGAACATATCCTAAGTACAATGATTTAGCTTTGGATCACATAACAGATGGGGAACATATCACACTTTTTGAACTAAGTGAGAAAGCCAACATAACAGCTCTAACCACATTTTACCAAGATGTATCTGATGACTACGTAGTAAAAGAAACAGTTCATTTTTAAATGTTCCGAGTTACTCATGCCATTTGTATTAATGTTGTCACTCAGCTGGGGTCCACATTGCACCAAGATTTGGAAAATATCCAATCGATACAATTGATTCAATCAATGCAGGCAAGCTTAGGCATATCGCCCAAGCTCTGGCTGGTTAATGGTACTATTCCCACTTCACATCTTGCCTTGGCATGCAGTTATTACTTTTTTGAGTTAATATTGATGTGAAAAGTAGTTAAAAAGGATTTATAAATCCAGTGCTCATTTCATATGATTTCTGAACCAACTTTATAAAGGAAACATAAGTAATAAATGTTTAAGAAACCAACAGCGATCTTGGTAATCTTGACCTTAGATCTATAGAAAATTTTAAGACCTGATACAACAACATTAAAAAATAATCTTTGTGTAGAGCACTGGCCACTAATAAAAGTTCATATAATATAGAAAAGCCATACATTTCATCACTTTCCAAATGATTACAGAGCACCAAGTTGATGGCATCAATGCACAATGACTAACAAATCCCAGTGCTTGAAATGAGATACTCATCTATGTTCTTCATATTATGTTTATCCTAAATAAACCTTATGGAATACACAATCAGTAATGAAGGATACATATATGAACATTTAAATGTCATAAAGATTTGGCTAAATTGTTTGAAAACTGAATAACTATTATTCAAGAAATTAGTTTGTTGTGAGGAGGACTCAATAAAAATAGAGATCTCGGCATTGTGTCTATGGTGAAGCCATGGATACTAAGGTTTCAAAAGTAAATGCATTTATTTACAATTCAATCTCTGTTCTGTCAGTTTCCTTTCCCTCTACTCCACAGTCACTAGACTCCGGTAAAGATCTCCACACTTGCAATCTGAGCTGTTTGTCTTGAAGAGCCTGTTAAGCTAAATGCCTCCACT